GACGCCCTTCTGATCTGGAACTGAAGCCACTCCCAGAGACCACCTTTCGGCCAAACAATAGACAGGCTCATAAAATAAACATTAATACCAGAGAGGAGCATGTTCCTTATAACAATCAATTATATGAGATCAAAACGGCAATATTTGCCCAAAAGCAAAGATGAGAAGGCAAGAAGGGGTAGAAAATCCAGACAAAAGGAAACGAGGAACTCAGGGTGGAAATGGGGAGAGTGCTGACACATTGTGAGGAATGCAACCAATGTCATGGAACGTTTTATGTACAAAGTATTGAATGGGAAACTAATTTGCTCTGTAAACTTTCATCTAAAGCACAATAAAAATTAAGAAATGACAACAAACACACACCATGTCTCTCTCTCTCTCTTTCCCACTCTCCCTCAGGCTGTGGATTCTAGAGGACAATATGGCTTTCAACAATGGAAGTTAAGTCTATGTAGTCTCTCAAAAGACCTGCTTTGACAGAGACAACCCTCAATGGAATATGAAAGTTCTGGTATGTTTACCAGCCAGTGACACTACATGCCAGTAATTCCAATGCAAACAACATATCAGAAGGCAGATGTCACCCTTTTCTGCTATGCTAGGAGTCATTTGGTTATGAAGTGGCTAAGCAATCAGAAACAGACCTTCATCTGGAAATTCAAATCTGGAAGTCGCAGTGTTGACTTAAGGAAACTATAAACACCGCAGAAGGAGAAGCCCCAGACATGAGGGCTGCATACCTTTTCGATTTGCTTTTGTTTACTGAGTTCTTTCTGTTGCTTCTCTTTTACTCTCTCTATTTCTTTTTGCTTTTCTGATGCCCTACGATCCTGAAGAACAAATGAATAAAACCAATGAATTAAATATGAAATGCTTTTAAATTTTAGACGTTTCAATTAATATTACTTTTGTAAACGTTTTTCAAATACATGAGAAAGCACACCAGAAGTCTCCATTCTATCGTAGCCATCTATCCAAATTCTAAACAGTGTATCAGCCATAGCATCCACCGTTTTATTTACTTGCTGATAGGAAAGATCGTACACTACTTTAGTTAACATTCTTGGATAATTAGGAATCTCAAATTCTTACCAGTTCAGCATGCAAGGCTATCTGTTTTGCCAGTCCAACAGAATCACAAATCTAAAAGGGGAAAAAGTAGGAAAAACTCAGGCAGTTTTCACATCAAAGCAGTAACTTCAAGTATCCAAATGGCTGATGTAAGTAGTTTTATAATTTAGCATAACACACTGCCTCAAAGAAAGGCTGATTTACCCAAAGTCAAGTCTGTGTGAGCTCCCACTACTGGCTCTCACCTCCTTCATGGGCCCCCCCTTCTTGTTATCTCAAACTCATTACTGCAAAAAAGGA